GGAAATTTGGTGCATGCTCCGTGGGAGTAAAACTGGCTTTGTTTAAAGCGTATTGTACTTTCTTGTACACTGCTCATCTGTGGTGTAATTATAAAAAGGGCAGTCTTCGGAAACTGTCAGTAGCTTACAATGACGCCCTAAGGATATTATTGAGAAAGCCTAGATGGACGAGTGCTAGCGAATTGTTCGTGTCATCTCGAGTTAGTACATTTTCCACTGTTTTAAGAAACCTGATGTTTAAATTTATTTGTCGCTTGAATGGTTCAAAAAATCATATCATTTTATTGTTGACTAATGTTGCACACAGTGACATGCGTTTTACTTCGGTTCTCTGGAGACACTGATATATACACCTGTCTTTTAAAGGGGCAGTAGTTTTATGGGTGTTCTTGTGCTCTCGTTTTTATGTATTTTCTGTTTTTATTGTTTCGTTTTTAAACTGTTCTTTTATTGCTTTTATTTGTTTTGAACCTGGACCTTGAGTCTGTAATAAAGTGTCATCATCATCATATTGAGTTTAAAAACATTATAACATTGGCAACTTGATTACATTTTAATGACAGGACTAAGAGGCCCTTAGCACCTGTGCCTGTTACTTGAAAGGTGGTCCCTAACCTGCTTCCACAGCCATTCTGATCAACAATAATAGCACGCCTATTTAGGGACAGTCCTAGACAGGTATTTTGTCTTATACATTCTTCATAGCCTTTTGTTTTCATGCAGTAAGATAGTTTTTGTCCTTGTAAAACGGGGCTCTTGTTCATTAATATGCCATGTATATAGTGCAGACAAGGTTTAATTTAAAATAACTGCCTATACTGAAAACATCTAAATGTGTTGACTGCAGCATTCATTTATGATGTAGACTGAGACGGTTGTGTGTACAGACCAAACCTATCATGGTAGGAACATTTGCTCAGAACACCACCAGTTAGCAAGATTTCAGACTTAAGTTGCTTCTCGAGTTTTTTCGAGGAAACATAATGAGACAGAAAATCCTGGGGTTACATTCAAAGCTCAGTAATACAAAAAAAGCTAAAAATCAATTCCAAAGCCTGTGGTCAAAGCCATAGCCTTAAGTTAGTTGGTAACTTCCATCAGTTGTCCTAATCATTTCTGTCATTATGTACCCATTTGACATTTGTGGACAAGTTTTATTGAATCGTATTATAGTGAAGCTCCATTCACTGCTTACAGAGTGACTGCAGGGTTGAACTGGCACCTCTCTGACACTGTCTGAACAAAAGGTTCATGCCATATAGTTAGTACATTTAGGATTTATCACACAATTGTTGCATTACACTGTATGTGTTTTTCACAGTTTCAGTTCATAATGACCATTATAAAAATGTAATTTAATTGATCAATCATGTCATTACATTACATAATTAGTTTTACACTAGGTAGATGCATTTTTCACGCAGCAAAGAGAACTCTTTTCTATCAAATGAGTCGCTTAAGTTGCACATCACGCATGGACCTTGTTGTTTTATGCTTTATGTCAATTTCTGCTTGCGCATTAAGTGCAATGTAATCTCCCCTACAGTTATTTTCTATTGCTAACTTTTGTCAAACTCGTGTCTGTAAAGCCCTCACACTACAGGATCATCTGGACTCCTAATCGGTTCCGAGCATCCTGGAGTCGGGAACATCCCCTCCAGTCAACGGGAAGTGCAAATCAGACTCCAAATCTGCCTGATTCTCCTGTAGTGTGGGGCTAGCATAAGGAACCCTGCACAGCCTGCTAACTGACATACATGCCTTTGTCCACTTTAGCTCCTTTAGGTATGTGTATGCAATGAAGAAGTGTGTGGAGGACCAGGAACCAACATTTGCTCCCCAGCAACCTCAGTCATGCCATCCCCCAGGTCAAAGTATCACAGAGAGCTTCCAACACCGGGCCCTCGCCCCGGCCCCTGCTGTTATAGAGACAGCCACAGACAACATGCAGCCATCCAATGGCATCCAGTATTCTCTCCCCCAGGGCTACCAGGTATGAGATTATCAGTGCAGCTGGCTTAAACAACAGCCTCTGGTGTAGTTCTTATTTTTACTAGGGTTATAGATGAATATTTGCCTAGCACCAAATTGCAGTAAATCTTTGTCTTTAGCTTAGAATAACTAACTAGAGATGTCCCAGGCCTGTCCTAAGGTTCAGTGACAGGGTTGGCACTTTTTTCCCAAAGGATCAGTATCTGCTGAAGTAAATCTAGTCAAATAGAGACTGTTCTTTTCCTTTACTCTACTGCTGCAGTTTTAAACCTGGCGGTCTCTACTCCCCCTGTCCTCCTCCTGGATTGCTGCTCACAGCCACGCACAGTGGACTGGAGCAGACAGGAGGGTATATTTTACTTGAGTCATCCATGATGTTTTTTAACCACACATGCAACAAAATCTGGCACTAATGAAGATAGTAAGAACAATTGATCAAACATCTTTTGAATAGTTTGAAATGAAGCTAGCAGCATTATGACACCTTTGCCACTTGGCCCATGGTCCCATTTTTTTGCTTCTAATTCAGTATAAGTGTATGTTTATACAATGCTTGCTACAGTTACTTTAGCAAATTATTGTCAACAAGCTGAAAACAAATGGTAATTTTGTGTAGCTTATGAGTCAAAACTAGCTGACAATGTAAAGTTTTGTTTTGTTTGGGGTTTTTTTTCCAGATCTGTGGTTGAGACAAACCATCTTTGTGGTTCATCCAACAAAATTATCCAACAGCATATATTGTCTTTTCACAGTTGATGGAGGTGAAGGAGAAAAGTTTGGAGGGTTCTTTAAAGGGTGATAGACAAGACATCAGATGTTGCAGCCCCATACTTTGTCTTTACTGATGATCTAAAACTTGCTCCTACAGTGAAATAATCAGAAATATGTGTTTGTATGTTAGCTGTCTGTTAGTGGTTCATCTAAAAGGCACAGCATCTGAGTTTAACATTTATTGAAAACTAGGGCTGCCCCCAAATAGTCGAGTCATCAGTTGAGAGACCTGTCAGTCGACTGAGACTCTTCTAGTCGACTTTGTTTTTATTTTATTATATTTAATTTTTTGTCAGCCATTGTGCACTACAACAGAAGGCAGCCCCAGCCCAGTAGTTTGTTGTCGTCTTCTCGTTTTGCTGTGCCAAATACCAATGCCAATTGGTATTTGGTTGGATCTGTTTAGCAAATTGCAGAACAAGGAGAAAATGAAAACACAACCCACTAGTACAAGCCACATAAAGGTGAGATTTGTACTTTATTAGAAGTGTTTTCAAACATTGTGGTGTACTTTTACAAGAGAAAAGACTTAAACGGTCGTGTCCATACGCTGTGGTTAACTGACGGGAGAAACTTAAACTTGTTGGTAAACTGGCCTATAAGAGCATTGTTTCAACAGAAATACAAGTGTGCTGCCTGTCTCGTTATTCCGACAAATCCATATGGCACCTTGACATTATATATCACTTTAAATATGTCATAAATATTGCATCATATGCAGCTGACTTATTGGTTTTCCTAAATGCTCAGAAATGTGTATGTTCCTGTCACTCTTGCATTTAAATACTGATGTTAATGTGGTCTGTTATTAGTGATGTTCATGCCAGTTGATTTTCTGACAGCCTAGGCTATATATTTATTAAAAGAAAGAATAAAAACAAATAGTTGAATTGTCGCACTGTAGAGCTGGCTGATAAGATCCTTAGTCAGGTACAGCCCTATTAAAAACTAGGTGAATCTTGCATTGTGCTTGACAGCGCACCGATTGAGTTTTAAAGACGCCTTTATTTAGTGTAGTTGTATTAACATGTACAATAATTTTTGCAAGTTTACCCAGGTTATTTTTAAGCTTCATGGAGCCTAAAATTCTATTATATTGCTTCCTAAAAAGGTGCCTACAATTCCTCAGAGCACAAGTGGACATGGACACACCAATACTGCACCTCATGTTGGTCCCCACACACACAGTCTATCAGTTCAGTCTCAGGGTCCTGCAGTGGTCCAAAGTCATGTTCATGCACCCGCCCCCATGAATTCAACCCAAGGACAGCAACAGTTTCAACGACTGAAGGTATGAACAAATAAACTTTAAAATATACTCATCAAAGTCAACCAGTGAAATAAATGTTTTTTGTTTGATATACATGCAATATTAAGCTGGTAGTATTGACTTTTCTGATCCCAAATTCATTTTTATTCTCTGTTCAGGGGTTACATAATACCCGATTTAGGATGGAGAAATGTGGCACTGATTTTTCACTTTTTACTTTGAAGGTTGAAGATGCACTGTCCTATCTGGATCAAGTGAAGCTACAGTTTGGCAATCAGCCACAAGTTTATAATGATTTTCTTGATATTATGAAAGAGTTCAAGTCACAGAGGTGAGCTCTATTTTTTTCTGTTTTCCCTAAGAAAACCCATGGCTAGTACTTCTGTGTCTCAAGTTTTAACATGTAACATGCAGCTGTGGACCCACCTGATGATGAATCACATACTAAATTACTGTTGTTTCTTTTGTTACTACAGCATAGACACTCCTGGAGTCATCAACCGTGTTTCCCAGCTCTTCAAGGGCCACCCTGACCTCATTATGGGTTTTAACACTTTCTTGCCACCCGGTTATAAGATTGAGGTTCAAACCAACGATTTGGTCAATGTCACCACACCAGGTCAGATCCACTACATCACCCCTCATGGCATTTCTGTTCAGAACAACCCTGCAAGTGGAGCATCTAGCCAACCTGCAAATAACCACCAGCACCAGAGTCTGCCACAGACTGGTCCACATACTGCCACCACCACCCAACCCCTCCCTGCCCAACCTGCTCCAAATAAAACAATCAAGGTAAAAGATATTCTGTATTTTCCACAGAATATAATATCGTAAACGACATTTAAACTGACTTTTTAGTGGTCTGGTTTCATAGATGGTGTACACAAGTCATAACAAACTTGTTCACTTCTGTTGTTCTCAATAGCCAATTCAGTCCCCAGCCCATACTCCCACCAGCCAGCCCAATCCATCCATCCCATCTTATGCCTCACCAAGGTCACCTTTGGTTCACTCCCACATGCCAGTGAGCAGCATGCCATCTGGTGGGCCACCTCTCCAGAATAATCAGCCTGTGGAGTTCAACCACGCTATAAACTATGTCAACAAGATCAAGAACCGCTTCCAGGGCCAGCCAGACATCTACAAAGCCTTCCTGGAAATCCTTCACACATATCAGGTAGAAGAAATATTCAAGCACTGTGGCATATACTGGGCCATTTGTACCCAGCATAAATGTGTGTGGAAGAATACACCCAGTGGTCACCTCACCACCTATGTTTTTTTTAATTATGCATTTTCCAGAAGGAACAAAGAAATGCTAAAGAGGCAGGAGGAAACTACACCCCAGCACTGACCGAGCAGGAGGTCTACACTCAGGTAGCAAGGCTCTTTAAGAACCAGGAGGACCTGCTCTCAGAGTTTGGACAGTTCCTGCCTGATGCAAACAGCTCAGTGGTGAGTCCCCATAAATACTTGTACAGCTTGGCCTGTTTTAACAGTTGTGTTTAGTGTTGTCATTGTGCTTGGATGTGGAACCTGAAATTCTTAAAGTGCTTCTATTAAAAACTTGCAGTCTTAAGCAGTGGTTTGTAAGATTTTGAAGTGTAATACTTTTTCAGCTCATGAGCAAGACTGCACCAGACAGGGCAGAGTCTGTGCGTAATGATCATGGCGGGACAGCAAAGAGACCCTTACTAAGCAACAAACAAAGGCTGAGTCAGAACAGCCTGTCAATCAGAAGACCCACTGGAGTGGGAGCCACTCCGCCTGTCAAGGTACACGCGTCTACATGTTGACTGTCTCTATATATTATGGTGTTTGTACTGCTTCTTTCTGTCCTTTTAATGTAGAAGTGGCCATTATGCTGTAAAATCTGTTTGCCTTCAGTTAATTCCTATTTATAATAATAAAAGGAGACAAAATATGAGAAACACTTCATACAGTCCAGCATCACATTCGCTGTACTACAGTCTCCAAAATGAGCACAGTTGAATCAACACCACTCAAACAGGTACAGCTGTTAAACAAAAACTGGTAGTTTTTATTGCAGAGCTCTTTTGTCAGATTTTGTTTTAAGTATGTTAACCCACACTTTCCCCTTCTTGTTTGTGTCTTCACTACTAACCGTCCAGTAAACTATTTAAAACAAATCATAAAAAAACTGTGAGCCTATGAGAGTCATCATTTTGCCATGTCTTTGCTATCCTTTCAGAAGAAACCTAAATTAATAGAGAAGGACCATGGTATGACTGAAGTTTGCAAACACAGCACCAGCACTGAAACTATGTTCTTTGAGAAGGTCAGTATTGCTATATTTAGTGCCATTATTATTTTTTTAAGTCCTACAATATCAAGATGGACATTATGATTAGCAGAATGTGAATGATTCGATGAAACCACCTCAAGGGAAAGTTTATTTCTATTTGTTTATTTTTGTCATGACTGAAAACACTAACAGGTGAAGAAGGCTCTTCGCAGCTCTGAGGCATATGATAGCTTCCTGAGGTGTCTGAACATCTTCAATCAGGAAGTGATTTCACGTGCTGAGTTGGTTCAGTTAGTCATCCCATTTCTTGGGTGAGTTTAAACATACAATCTGTCAGCGCTGTGGTCACGCATATCTATAGTCACCAGGTTGCTAGTAATTAGTGAGCAGTATATTGTTATACAGTTAGCATCCATGTCTATAGCTGTAGTCTCACTATTAATTACTTTTCACATATAATGTGGTATGATTTACAGAACATTTCCAGAGCTTTTTACTTGGTTTAAAAACTTCCTGGGCTACCGAGAGTCTAGTCATGGGGATTTGAGCCATGCAGAGAGTTTACCCAAGGAGCGTTCAACAGAGGGCATTGCCATGGAGATTGACTATGCTTCCTGCAAGAGGCTGGGGTCCAGCTATAGAGCTCTGCCGAAAAGCTACCAGCAGCCCAAGTGCACTGGAAGGACACCACTGTGCAGAGAGGTGAGTGACTGAAGGAACTCTGCTTATTAAAGGTATTGCTGTCAAGATAACCTATTAATTTTCTCCCACAGAGCTATCAGCTACAGTGGTGTCAATGTGGTATTAATGTATATGGCTTTGACAGCAGTCTTAGGAGTTTCTGTTGGTTCAGGTAGTGCTTGTAAATTAACCTTTACCAGGCACCAGATGCAAGTTAAATGTGTTTTAGTGGATAAATGAATAATAGACAATGATAAACAAAATGTATACATTTTGTATTAAGTTGCTTTATTGAGCATTTAGTAAAAAAATTCAAGACTATTTTTTTAAATCAATTTCTGCACACTTATGCTGTTGCATTGTTTCCTGATTTTCCAAACTAGAGGGTGGGCCAAGGAACGTGTATAGAATTTATGTTGACACCTTATTATCGTATTAACTTTGACCGATTAAAACTATTTATTCCTTGCTATTTTGTCTGATTAAGTGTCAAAAAATTTTAAGCTCATATTTGAGAAGTCACAATCACTTATGTTTCCCATTTTAACCAAAGAGTTTGATTGTCGCTTAGGCATTATTGTTTTTGCAACTGATTAACTAATAGATTACTTGACCAAGTGTTTCATAACAAAAACAAGGCAGCTAGATCATGTTGCAAAAACTGTGGTCATTATGAGTGCACCTCGTATTCTGAATTAATTATAAAGTATTTTCAGGTTTGGTACATTGTTCTCAGTAGGACCTGAACATCAACTTCTTTTTTACATACTGTAAATTGATTTAATTAGCTTATTTTCTTTAAATGAAATCCTTCACAATTGCCTTAAAAACAGCAGTTTTAAATACATGTCTTATTGCAGGTTCTTAATGACACATGGGTGTCATTTCCATCATGGTCTGAGGATTCTACATTTGTGAGCTCCAAGAAGACTCAATATGAGGAGCACATTTACAGATGTGAGGATGAGCGCTTTGAGGTGAGGAATACTCAGTCTGCCCCAGTATAAAAGCTTCAAGGTAAAAACTCTAGGTTCTTGTATGGTTAGTAGTGTGCACAACTTTCTCTCTGTGATTCACTTTGCTCAAGAGTCAAAAGACCACAGGAAAGCCTTAGCTTTAGATTCACAAAGAAAATTTCCCCATTTGCACCGCAACCATTATCAGACACCATTAATATTATTTCATAGTGATTATTTCTCATTTAGTTAGATGTTGTGCTGGAAACCAACCTTGCCACGATACGAGCCCTGGAGACGGTGCAGCGGAAGCTTTCTCGCATGTCAGCTGAGGAGCAGCTGCGCTTCAAGCTGGACAACACAATGGGCGGCTCATCAGACGTTATTCACCGCAAAGCTATTCAGAGAATATACGGGGACAAGGCTCACGATATCATTGATGGGCTCAAGAGGAACCCAGCTGTGTCCGTCCCCCTAGTACTGAAAAGGTGAATAGTCTCATTTCAGTTTACATATCTGCCTCAGCTCAGGGTTTACTAGTTGTTTCTATCTTTTCATGTTTGGTTTAGGGCTGCTTAAGGTTGTGTATCATTTTTGTTACTGTTGCAGGTTAAAAATGAAGGAAGATGAGTGGAGAGAAGCTCAGAGAGGCTTCAACAAAATCTGGCGGGAGCAGAACGAAAAGTATTACCTAAAGTCACTCGACCATCAAGGCATCAACTTCAAGCAGAATGACACCAAGCTGCTGCGCTCAAAGACCCTGCTCAATGAAATTGAGATGTTATATGATGATGTAAGGAAATGTGTTTCTGAAAATTTTATTGAAATGGGTCATTGATGATTGTTGGTGATGCTTTTGATAGAGTAATTCCACAAGACAGTTGAATTAAATTTTTGAAACTAAATGGGACTTGGATCACCTGCTCATGTTTTCTAGAGGTCTTTGCTCTCATACTGAAACATTACCATGTCTCAAAGTTCAGCCCATTCTCCCCATTTCTGTGTCCTGTAGCGCCAGGAGCGAGCATCAGAGGAACCTGCCACACTGCCACCAAGTGGGCCACACATGACCCTAACCTATGATGACAGCCAAATCCTAGAAGACGCTGCTGCCCTCATCATCCACCACGTCAAAAGACAGGTGGGAATCCAAAAAGAAGACAAGTACAAGATCAAGCAGATCATCCACCACTTCATCCCTGACCTGCTGTTTGCACAGCGAGGTGATCTCTCTGATGTGGAGGAGGAGGAAGAAGAGGAGGAAGAAGACCTGGAGATGGATCAAGATGGCCCCAAGAAGCATAATGGCCTTCTGGGCAGCAGCCCATCAAAGTCCAAGCTCCTCTTCAGCAACACAGCAGCTCAGAAGCTGCGGGCAACTGATGACGCCTATAATCTGTTCTTCGTAAACAACTACTGGTATGTCTTCCTTCGCCTTCACCACATCCTCTGCTCACGTTTGCAGCGAATCTATGGACAAGCTGAGAAGCAGATTGAAGAGGATTCTCGTGAGCGAGAGTGGGAAAGAGAAGTGTTGGGACTCAAAAGAGAGAAAAATGAAAACCCAGCAATTCAACTGAAGATGAAGGAACCAAGTAAGTGACAAAACAAGTTTGATGGTTTTACTATTATTACATTTAAATCCTCATTAACACTGATTTTGATTCCACACTACATCTTACATTTGCAACTTTCTGCCTGCAGTGGATGTCGATGTAGAGGACTATTACTCAATATTTCTGGAAATGGTACGTAATCTTTTGGATGGAAACATGGAACCAACTCAGTACGAGGACTCGCTGAGGGAAATGTTTACTATCCATGCCTACATTGCCTTCACCATGGACAAACTCATCCAGAGTATTGTTCGACAGGTCAGCGCATTCAAGATTTTTAGCATTTGATTTGATTTGTGTTACACAAAAAGACTTGTCAGTTGTACAAAATGAGTAAAAAGGATTGTGTCATGTTGCTTACTTACTGCACTCAGGGCTTGATCACAAAAAGCTACGTTTCTTGTGTTTTTGTACATCGCTGTTGCATACTAAACCTGTTGCTTTCACAGCTCCAGCACTTTGTCACTGATGATGGATGTGCACATGTATTGGACATGTACTTGAGTGAAAGTGCCAATAAAGCCACAGGTGGCACACTGTCCACACAGACATCCAGGGCCACAGCAGAGGGGGCATACCAGCGCAAAGCAGAACAGCTTATGACAGATGAGAACTGCTTCAAGGTACCACAAGCCTTGAAAATAATAATATCGTACATGAGTCTACTAATTTGAACCGTTTGCTCATAGGCAGTTTCCTCTGATTTGTTGTGTTTTGTCTAGTTGATGTTTGTAAAGAGCCGAGGCTCTGTCAGTCTGGCTGTGGAGTTGCTGGACACAGAAGAGGAGAACTCTGATGAGCCAGCAGAAGCAGATGTAAGACTCATTCACTTTGATAACATTGTATGAACAATATTTAACATTTATTAGCTACAGCTATGCAGTTACATCCTCTGTTATCCAGTGCAAATCCCTGCAGTTAATATTTTTTGAAGGCAGAGTTGATAGTGGCAGTGCATTGTTGATCATTAAGTTGCAACCCATTTCTAATATCCTGTCCATTAAAAATTGACATCGTTGTTGTTGTTGTTGTTTTTACTCTGGGGACAATACATATGTTTTTTTCTACTCTATCCTCCACAGAGGTGGTCAGACTACGTGGGCAGATATCTGAACTCAGATTCTGCATCCCCAGAGCTACGTGAGCATCTGGCCCGGAAACCGGTGTTCCTCCCCAGGTGAGGCTTCAGCCATGTGCCCCTCTTATCTGCACAGTTTTTAAGCTTTTATCCTTAGGATCTAGTCACGTGAGCAGCCAAACCTGCTGTAAAATGCAACTGATTTTCAGAGGCAGAAACAGTGACCCTTCTCCACAAGCCTGACTTAGGGCTACAGTGGATTTAAGAGCACTGCCTTTTTGGTAACAGAAAAACAGAAGGTTAATCATTAAGCCTCACATGGAGGATTGCACTTTACCTGGTCATCTTTTTAAGAAATGGAATTTATTTATTCATTGATTCACTTACTTTTTAAGTATTTATTTGTAATAAGATTTTTTTAAAGGGTTTTGGCTTGATTTCTACCCAGTTGGGCATAATGAATCATTTTGTTTGACTATTCACATTGTATTGAATTTAAATGATGATTTTCTTTGTGTAACATAAAGAACAAAAGTCACTGAAAGCAAAACAAATGGATTCCACCTGTTGTCATTGTTATTTCATTTTTCTATAATGTGGTCAACCTCAGAGTTTGAGAGGCCTTGTGTAGGACCTGAGAGACGTTGTTAAAAGTGTTGTGGTTTCCTCTTCTACTTTATCATACTTTGTGTATGATTGTATTCAGGTTGTGTGTGTGTGACTTAATCACAGATTGCAACTGTAAATGTTCAAATGTCCATTGTGTAAATCTGTTATACTGTAATAATCTTCAGTGGAAATAGTGCACTCCTGTTGCAACTTCTTGTTGTGGGTGAGGTTTTTCCACTGGTTTGACAGACATTAGTGCTCAAGTTTTTAATAAGTTTATACTTTTTTTTTTTAACTCTGGTCAAGCACATTATCTGCAACACTTGTACAGAGTAGGGTTTGTAAATAAAAAGATAAATTGTATGTTCATATGTTGGTGTATTTCTTTCCTGACACCTCAAAGCTGTGCATGGAGGCGTGGTTGTGTTGCCTCGGTCTAGATGAGTGTTGCACATAAAACCTGTCTTCAGTTTTTGGTGCTTTTCGAGTTGTTTTTGTGACTTTTGAGAAGGCTGTCCATTACCATAAACATCTCAAAAGGCTGTTTTAAAGCAAAAAAACAACCTCTTGTTCTTCTTTTTGCCTTATTTAACCAATTTGCTACCTGATTCTGATTTATCAGTGGGTTTACCCACATCTTGTCTTTTTTTTTCTTCATCAAATCTATGAGAAACCAGCAGCACATGAGGTCGAAAGATTTGTCTTTCCTCACAAAAACCTCCAGTGACAGTGTAATGTTCTAGTTTATTTTTTAGTTTTGTTGGGTCTTCATCGCATCATCATAACACACTACATTGTTGGTGATATTATGTGCACATCAAAGTATTCTCAGCTAATATATATATAAATATAAACAGTTTTTACTTGAAATTGGCCTCACTGTCATGTCTTTTAAGTGGGGCCCTGAATGCAAATATATGCTTCATGGTTTCAGTCATCACTCACCTGTAACCACTGTGGTAAGTACGCTTTTAAAGCTTTCATTCAGGTGGGCTGAATAGATGCATATTTTTAAATTACCTGCACAAAATTTGGATCAGTTTTCAGTTAAATTTGGTTTTACCAAGCATATTTAGGTTTGAACTATGTGGCTGTGCAACGGAAGTGCACTGTACAAAAATATTATGACTGCTGCCTCTGCTGCTTTTATAGATCCACATTTTTTTCACAAATGATTTGACTACCGGTCTAATTCCTTTACTCGGTGAGTTGCAGTGCAGTGCATGGATTCAAAAATAATTGTTTAAAGGGACAGTCCTCTCAAATTTGAATATATTGTTTTCAGGTTTGCTTAATGTTGTATATTGTGCCTGACAAAGCTAGGCTTTAAAATCACACAATACATACTGTCAGAAATAAAATTGTACCATATTACATGCTGAAGTGAAAATAAGACGTTATATAGATTTTTGAAATTTGTGCAAACTTTCTGTAAACGGCTTCTTTTGGTGTGTGGCGAAATCAGAAGATTTTGTCTTGAACCTGTCAGAATTATTAATGGTGGTCAATCTCTTTTGGCATTCAGGAATTTGAGACGGATAAGGAAGTGTCAGAGAGGATGGGAGCAGCTTCAACAGGAGCGAATGACCAAGGGCCCCTCAGAAAAGGCACAGGAGGGCACCAGTGAGCTGAAGATGGAGTGCATGTTCAAGCTCAACTCTTACAAAATGCTCTATGTCTGCAAGTCAGAAGACTATATGTACAGGCACACAGCACTCACCCGGGCTCATCAGGTAAACACAGAACACAATAGCTGCATACTTGCCATAAATGTTTGTGTACTACTAATTCATTATTGGTACAATAGTTACATGAATAGATTAAATATGCATGTACATTAGTCTTTTTTTTTGGGGGGGGGGTACTCAAAACGTCTTCATACTTTTTGTGGTGATGTTCCAAGTGGTTGCACAAGTACAGTGTGTTACCATTGGGAACTGCAAATTGCTGCTTGCACACTGCACAGCTCTGGCTGTTATTGTGGTCTTTATGTTGGATTTCTTCTATGTACAGCTCGTCATGTGATATAATGCATTCCTGTTATTGGTTAATGCAGCTTAGCAAAGAAAAGGGAGCACTTGGTTTGATGTAATGGATCTCCCTGCTAATGCAAAACATGGCAGAATCATCGTAACGTGAAAATGAGATTGAATGGGGTCAGAATCGAGATCGCAATCAAAATATAATGAGTCACGCATCCCCACACTAGAACAAAAGATGCTGTATAGCCTTCAGTCGTCTATAATTCCAGTGTACTGTATTTATATACCTAATGTATATTAAGATTAGGTTTTTAAGACAGGGCTTTTTGTTTATAGTGACTCTTTCAGAATTAGTCACCTCTAATAAAATTGTTGTGTTTTCCAGTTTAACCTGCCATGTAATGTGTGTTGCCTTCTCAGGCAGCTAAATTTATAATGATTGAAAACAAGTTCATAGCATCTCCCAACATCTTTTCTGTAGAAATTAATCAGGGAGGAAAATCTGTCAAACAAGTATAACCTATAATACATTTTGTGTTGAGATTCTGCTGGATGAGGGTGCTGTTCTCTATAGACCTTTTGTATGTGACCTTTACTTTGAACTGGTATGCCAGTAGCTGAGTTGTTGTTTTGGTTGGTGTCTCTTTCAGTCCCACCAGCAGGTGAACACACACCTGCACGGGCGCTTCCAGACCTGGCTGGATGCCTGGGTCAAGGTGCATGTGACCAGTGACATGGCTACCGACAGCCGCAAATGGTTGATGGGAGAGGGACAAGAAGGCCTGTTGCCCTGCACCACCGCTTGCAGTCCTGAGGTCCTCCATTATCTCAACATTAATAAGTACCGGGTGAAGTACAGAACACTGTAGTTTCTTCTATCAAAAGGTAAACTGGCAGTGATTGTGGTCTCACAAAACCTGCTATTGATCGCTTAAAAGATAGAGTGGCTCCATACTGATTGCCTCACCCTGCCTTTCAGTTGCCAAGTGGTTGTCAGTCCACAGTTAAAATGGAATGTAATTTTGCCAGAACTGGTTCAGGACCTTTGTCCTAACTTTCTACCTTGCATCAAATCCAAGTTTTTCAGGTGTTATTGTTACTATATTGGAAAAACCCACCTGTGTAATTAATCTCATTACATTGCAGGTTTTTATGGGAGATGAATATAAAGAAAAGGCATTCTTTATTGCAGTCCTTGTTGGAGCACAGCTTACAAAACTAGTTAAGTATTTTATAATAAGAACTCAGCAACCTAACGATGAGATAAATGTTTTGACCTCATGTTGTACTTTACATGAAATAAAAACAAACAACCTCAGCTTTTCTCTTTAGACAGCAAGAGCAGTACTTGTTACCTCTGTTAAAAAGTGTGTACATGGACTTGGAGCTTAAACTGGCTTCCGGCTGTGAACATGTATAGCCTGTGAATGTTTTCCTTTGTAGTGGTGAAGTTGCAGTAGTGCACTATAAATATATACATATACATATTTTCAACAACTCTGGCAACTGCTGGGTAGATGCTTGACATCAGTGCAATGCCAGCGGTTTCTGTATCAAGTACAGTAATTTATAACTGCCCAAACATTGTGTAAATATGTTTATATCTAGATATTTTTCTTTTATGAAATGTCATTTATGTGTAGCATTAACACACATAGTGTTGATCTTTAGCTAAAGGTTGTAGAGAGGTTTATTAAGAAAATGCAAAATTTTAACTTTTTTTTTTTTTTTGTACCAAAGGATGTGGATTAGAGACCTTTTTGGTTTGTGGCGGTGTGTTGAACTTGTCCCTGAAGTCTTTGTTCAGTAGACAACTTCCCCATTTTATATGCTAGCCCTTTCTGCGCAATTCTATCAGTCTTCTGGATCAATACCACTCGTGGTTTTTAGATGATTGAACGTAGCTGAGCAACAAGCTCGCCTTTTGGAAAGTACAACATATGTCGTTTTTTCAAAGTACTGTCAACTGTTTCTTCTCTTTAAGCCAAACAGTTAGAATCTGTGTGCCAGGTTCAGTGGTCTCATAATGTAACACACAAAAATGTACCGGAGTTGATTCTTTTTTTGTATGCTCAGTGGTGATGACATCATTGGCTGGTGTGTAGTGGGTCTGTACGTAAATGTCAGCTGTGTGACCTGTATACAGTTTTAAGGATTAAGAAACAAAGCAATAATTCTTTCTGTCACACTTTATATATGCTTTCAGTTTGTATTTCTGTGTGAAATACAAATGTGAATGTTGTATTCCCTTTGGAGAGGGATGTAAAATAAGGATTTTTTTTTTATTGTCTTTCTCCTCTGCAGTTTGTATAATAAAACTGAAATAGGTTCTGTTGATATTGTAATTGAAGTTAGATGGGAAGATTTCCATCACAGTAAATACTGTGAAGTATGTTTCACAGTAAAAATGAACTGTAAATCCGTCTAATCATTATAACATACAAATGATGGAAACAAACACCAAAATGTGCAGACTGACAGGTAATTTCCCTCCTCTCTTTCTTAGGATTGTTGCCCAACAAAGTTGAATTCTTCTATGTTGAACTTCGTTTAAGCCAGTGTTCAGTAACATAACCAGCTACAGACAATCTTTGAACAGTTTATTACTTGGGTTTTAATTTTTATATATTTACAGTGTTTAATATGGAAAACCACAGGAAGACCCAAGGAGCTGACTGCAGATAAAGATGCTGTTTGTACTTTAATGTGTCTCCTCTTGACTTTTATGATGTTGTACATGAGTGTTAGTACAGTGTTTGGCATTAAAATATCCTTTAAATAGAGATTCAGTTTGCCACTTCCTTTATCATTTTTGCCATTGTGTTTAAATGCAGAGTAACTGCAGGTATTACAGAACATTTATTTTCCAAAGGGCTTACATTTTTTGTTTTTATTTTTATATATTAAGATAATGAGGTCTTGATAAAAGATATTAGTTATTGTTATGAACTAACAAAAGTGTAAAACAGTGATGCACTTTGTATGTTTCTAATGTTGATTAATTGATTAATGACTTCTACATGAATCAGATATTACACTGTTTTGGGCGTGGAATTAAAAATGTCTTTAATGTCTTATCTTTATCCTGATGAGCCCTGCAGAAACCCTGATCATGATCCAGGTCTTCACTGAATATTTCCCTGAAAATGTTATTATGGGGATGTTTTGACCAGCACGTTCATCAGGTCATATGTGCAGACTACTGCTGCTGCTTTTGTTTACTACACCTTTATAATACTGCCTAAGGATCTAAAGCACATATGGAATGAAATACGTATAGCTCACAACACCAGAAATCTTATTTTGATTGTTTGTTTTTTTTTTGTTTGTGCAACAAAAATTATACACAAAAAGGGTAACAGCATTAATATCGAGCTGGGACTGATATTTTCATGAGTATCCAAAACACTGCTTGTCAAAAAAGATTCTTTGAGATGTTGGTTGTGTGAAATTTCTCACACTGTCAGAGACACTGACACATCTGGAGGACTCGGGCTGCTACTAAGCTCGTACATAGATCCGTGTGCACACCACGTCGTCTGCTCCGAAGATCTGAAATCAGATTGAGAGTGAGGAAAAAGAAATCAGATTATCATTTCATCAGCAGTATTATCATGTCGCTGCTGAAGTTTTATCATTTTCTAAGTCTCAGAATAGAGCTGCAGCAGCTGGCTGATTAATCAGTTGAGCTAAAAGAAAACTAATTGGAAATAGCTGATAAACAAAGATGTTTAGTAAATTTTTAGCAAGCATTACCCCATTACTCTTTCTGGCTTCTCACATACAAAGACTTTTTAGTCTTGCATGGCAGAAAACTTTTTTTTTTTCAGGACAAAACAAAGACATTTGCTTTATTCAGCATTTGTTAATATACAGTAGCCTCCACTTATGTGTATCCGGTTAGTTGTAGTCCTGTCTTCTTGCAACTACCTTTTATATTGTGTTATAAAACATTTTACAATTAAAGGTTTAGTTATTGCTTAACACCATAATCTTTTTCAAATAGTTTTACAAAATTCTGTTTTACTTGTAGATACAATAAAGTACAAGGAAAATCGAATTAAAACATGCATTATAGTAATGATGAAAATGCGGTTAAACTTAAAGTTTTGTCAAGTGTAGCTCATTATGTGAGAAACAGTTCTTTATTAAAAGGGCAAATGGAAGAGAGAAGTGTTCAGGGCTTTTATTTCAGTAAAAGTCAAAATTCACTTCTTGCAAGTAAAAGGCAAAATGTTACTTTGGTAAAAGAAAAGTATTAAAGTAGCAGAAGTAGTTATGTAGAATGGCTCCCTTCAGACTAATATAGTTTATTTTATAACTCGGTTATAAATGGTGTGATGGTGGGTTTGATTTCAGCTACTCTATGTACTGCTGGGTAGCTTACATTTATACATCAGGTTTTATTAGGTGATTCAAAGTTTTTAATACAAAATCTGTAAAATAACTAGGAACTAAAGTTATCAAATGAATCTTGTGGTGTAAGAAGTACAATATTTCACACTGAAATGTAGCTGAGTGAAGTATGTAGTATTAAATGGAAATACAAGTACCTCAAAATTGTACAGTACTTTACATGACTAAGCTTTTCTAATCAGACAAAACCGGAGAAAATTTTGCATTCTCCTTGCAGCTGATGTAATTATCCCTAAATCACTGACACCGTGATGGGGCTGGTACATTACTCTCCATTGACATGTTCACTTGTCAGATTTAGTCTCTCAGCCACATATACATGTATTGTTGCTTCTAAGGGTATCATAGAAAAGTCCTCATATGCCTACGCCATGACCTTGATTTGACACTGCTGCCTGCTGAAGACCAAAACTGATGAGAAAATGGGGAGGACACGTGATGCCCCAGGTTACAGATGCGCGTGTGATTGAGCCCAAAGATTTATGGGAGTCCCAGGGGTGCAGCGTTATGGCCGACTCCAGCACCACACATCATTATCATCTCAGGCCATGCAGTGTGAAACACAGAGCTGAGAAGACTCCATCAAACACATGGTGTGATGCCGAGGGACACGTTAGCTGGAGGTAACGCCAGGGGTCCTTTGGCATTGATCAGTGAGACCAATTAAAGGCACAGCTTTGGACCTCTACAACCAACGCAGCCACGCGGTTTCCATCGCTAAGTAGCCAATTCAGGACTGCATTAATCTTACTAGATCAATATTTATTGGCTTGAAATAAAAATGAAGTTTGTTTCCCTGCACAGACAACGTAAAAGAGCAGTGTTTCATTCTCAAGTGTTTATCCTCTGTCCTCTTTACTGTAGTCTCCCCAAACAGTCATCATAGTCCACCCATCTTAGGTCACAGTGAGTGCAGGAAGCCAGCACATATTGTCTTCATTAAGCTCCATGTCCATCTGTCTCCTCGAGAGCCTGATTTCCTCATCAGCTGGCCAGTGCTTTTATACTAGTTTATTTGTTCTGCTAAGAAAGATGGATCCCATTCCTCTGTGAACATTGAGAAGAATGAAGTCACGTCTACAAGAGATGGGATGTGGTCGCTTTTAGTTCCCTGTTAACGAATGAGCAGCAACACAAAATCGCACTGGTACTTTCCACACGCTAACAAAAGAGGGTTTAGACTTAAACCCATTTTGTCAAAGCTATAGGTGGTGCTTTAACAATATCTGGAAAAGATTGAGCAAGTTTAAATGGGACTTCTGTTTTAAAAGATTCTCGTGATTATACATACAGTCCTACACAGTTAATGATGTGAAATGAAGACATTGTTAAAATGTTACCATGTTTTGATTTTTGGGCTGCTTCAGCCTGTCACTGGCAGATCTGGCATATGGTTAAGTAGTGTAGTGATTGTTATGGTGGCACTGGAAGCTAACATCATCCTCTTGTTTCAGTGAAATGTGTACTGTACATGTGGGAGCTACTCGTCAGTGTAGCTCAACCTGTACTGGATTTTTGAGGTCATTAATGTATAACATTTGGACATCTAAGAAAATCTGATCATCCGATAGTCAATTTATTAAAACCAATTTGATTTTTTTTTTTTAAGACTTGTGATAAGGATGGAGATGAGACCCTCATCCTTTAGAACTGAGGATCTGACGCTTGCAGAGCGTTCTTTACAAAGCCCTTGTTTATCAATCAACCTTTATTGCCAAGTATTATTAAAACACAAGGAATCTGACTCGATGTGTACAGCTACTGCCCTCAGTCTCCAGATCACTGGTGAATCATTAGTCTGTCGCACCTCAGAGCCACATATATTCCTGCTTCGGCATCATTCAGATCTTACAGTTTAACAATATGTTAATTGAGGTGTAATATGAGGCTGTTGCATTTAAACTGCAGAACAACAGGGAACCTGTGTGACCTCTCCCTCCTCACTGGTATTGCCTATTAAAACTAAACCATTTCTTCTTCACTGATTTGGTCCCACATGCCTATCTGATTATAGCCTCTCACTCCGACATGGGCAGACATACACACCATTATCTTGAATAAAAACTGATTTGGTCTTGTTTAAAACTTTGTTCCCAGTATAAAAGCCTGCATTCAGACCAAATTATAGCCCCTCTCAAATGTTTTCCCATCTGCAGAGGTGAGTCATAGCTAGTAAAGAGGAGATCTCCATCACAGCCAAACTGGACTCGGCTTTGTTCTCTATCTGGCCAATAAATTCAACCATGGTGAATCACAGATGTTTATAGGAAACCTTGTTTTGTCTTAACGATCTTGAATATCCAAGAAGTGGAGACCGTTGTTTCTGTTGGATGTGAAATCATGAAGTGCTGTGAGGAATGCAGGTCTAACAACAAACATTTGGCAGTGAAAAGTTTGTATTCCTTTGAATCCTAGATAAAGTTTCCCCTTCACCCCCTTTTCAGCCTCTTATTATAAAGTGGATCGTGCAGCTATTAATGAAATTGGATGACCACGAAAGACAAAACTCCCCTTTTCTCAGTCTGGTCTACAGTTCTGTGGTTGTCATTATTTTTCCATGATGTGAACCTCATTTGACAGAAGAAGGTGAATAAATAATTTCCTAGGTAGTAGAGAATTTTGGAAAAATATTGACCAGATCCTTTAACATTTGCACATTTAATGTCTCCACCCTTCTATGGCCTCTCTAGACCATCTGGCCAGTTTCTGCTTTAGCTATGTTCTGCTGATGTGCCGCCATCATTGGCAGATAAATCATTTTCTTTCTTGATGAGAGTCCAATAAGAGGATTGATCCCACTCTCTAAGCTACAGACAGATGAATTAAAAGAAAACCCAACCGCTACGTGCCACCAGAACAGGTTCAGTGCACCTTGGCATTGACTCTCCAAGTCACTGAACTGGAGGGGTGAACAACATTCTTTGTAAAGATATTCCCTCATTTGGTGTTTTGATGATGGCGGTGGAGATGCTAACATGTTGCTCTAACATCTCCCATGGGCGTTTCACTGGGTTGAGATCTGGCAACTGTGAAGCCCATAGCATGTGATTCACACATCAAACCATTTGGTGACCTCTCGTGCCCTATGGATGAGGACACTGTGATCCTGGAAGAGATCACTCATTTATTCAGGTTTTTCCATTAACTTGTCACCCGTCTGTATTTAGCTTGTTTAACTCATACAGTAACCTATAGTAAGTGCAACAATTAGGGCTGCAACTAACAGTTATTATTGATTACCCTACAGACAGTTTTCTTGATTAATCCTTTGGCCTAAAGTGGCAATTCAGAAGTACAATCACAGAGGACTAAGAAAACCAGAAAATATTCACATTTGTGGAACTGAAACCTGAGAATTTTCACCACATTTGCTTGGAAAACTTAAATAAATCAGCAACTGTTTTGCTAATTAATTATTCATTTGTCAGCCTAACTGATAGACTAACCTTGAAGGTATAGTTCAAACAAAAAGGGATGCTAATTAGACCATGTTAATTAGTGAGCTTTAGAGGTGCTAGTTCCTTTGCTGTTTCTCCCTGTTAGCTAAGCTCACTGGCTCCTGGCTGTAGCTTAACATTTACTGTACACATATGGATGCAGTGTCATGTGTCTCCCCTGACTCTCATTAACAAAGCAAATAAGTACATTTCCCAAAATGTCAATCAAGGATAGGCTACACCACATGGCCAGAGTGACCGTGTCCATTTAGCCAACCTTTTAAATGATTTCTCCTGGGCAAGGGAGAATCGGAAGCAAAAAAATGGCAGTTAAGGATAGCGACCAACAAATTTGACACCTCATCCCACTGAACATCTGTTCATTGATCTGCTGAGAGATAATGGGAGGCACTGTGTACGCATCCTTCTGGTGGGAAGAGAGGGTGTGGGAGCCACAGTTTTAGAAAATAACACAGAGAACCTCTTGTTTTTAGGAAGAGAAACAAAGGGGAAGATCCTGAAGAAAGATGAGTGGCAGCAGTGGTGACACATGATACAATCCACAGTTTATAGACTTTATTAATCTGAATCAGCACCAGCATGTAGTACTCCCTTTATTAGCTGTCACTATATTTCTGGTTACAGTAAACTACTCACCAGTATGAGTTCGTCCCCTCTGAGCTCTCGGCTCCAGAAGGTCTTGGGGCCGCTCCCACTCAGTAGAGTCTGTTTGCAGTAAATCTTGTTTTCTGTTTCCCAAGTGGCCAAGCTCTGTAGAAAAGCAGCACTTTAATGAGGTTTCCTATATTAATCCCCTCCGTTTCACCTGACTAACAGGATGTCAGCAGAAAAACAAAGTGATGGATGAGATCAGTGAGGACTGTGTTTATCTCCTGTCAGCCTTTGGAGGTCTTTTGCATGTTTTAGTTTATTTACTCCTGTCTGCCACTTGTAAAGTATTTCAGTTCAGTTTATCTATTTCCACCAGGGATCCCTAATTTCAGTACAGAGCGAGATCAGCTGTCAGAGAACTGAGACTTGTTTTTTCAGGTTTTTTTCCCCAAGTGGTAATATTGGACCTCTTTGCTCTGTGTCAGTGTGATGCGTTGAGGTGCGGGTGGCAATATGTGGTATCCTAGACTTATTTTCAACACAAGAAGCTACCAAAGTCAAATCCTTCTGATCCCATATGAGCAGTAATTTCATAATAAAAACTCAGATTTGTTCACATCACAGGTAGTATTGGTGTTTAATTAGATTACCTTACACTTTCTGCCGTCCACCGTCTCCTCGTTAAACTCCTCGCCAATGTGAAAGCTGATCTCCGTGGTGCGGACTGTGGTAGAAGTGATGATGTAAAAGTGCTCACCATTCTGCTTTATCTCCACATGGGGCTTGGATGCAGCCGCCACTGCTACTTTCCTCAGCATGGCATTCACACCTGAAAATATATACAAGGTTGCCTGTCAGCCTACAGTGTAAATATTGAGTCTCTAAAGAAGTAAATGGACACAATTCACATTGAATTGATGTGTAAAATCATTTTCTGCACCAGATGTGGCTTTTTTCATTCCTACTTATAGCAGCTAAGTTCAGTATAAGACCTACTGTCTCCTCTGACATTGTGTTGAGTCACCTCACTTTTTTTGTCTCCTTCTGGTGCCAAAAGAGTGAGAAGAAAAAAGTTCCTCTTTCAGGAACCTCTGCAACTTGGCTTGTTCACCAGAACATCATAAGGGTGAGGTATCTATCTCAGGCAGAGTCATGCCACAGTAAAAACAAACTTTGTAATTGTCAGGTGAAGATATCACAGCATAAACCATCTGGTTTTGGGGCTTTAAAAAAAGACCTGCAGCTGTAACTGTGAGTGTTATCAGCAGATATTTCAGATATGGAGGCTGCAGTGACAAGCTGATGAAAGACAGGAATTCTGGTACCGTTGGCTTTGTTTAGCTCTCGTGTAGATCATGAAAGATGGTTCTCTCAAATGAGCGGAAAAAAACCATTAACCGCCCCAGTCACAGTTTAACAGTGGAAACAACTAAATGAGAGAATGTCTGTCTGTTTCCCATCTATCCTCTGCACAGTGCATCACTCAAATGCAGCATCAGTTCCTGTACAACTAGGTGAGTCGGCTGTTTTGTCCTCTAGTTAAAACCCGAGGTGGAACGTAACCAAGTACATTGACTCAAGTACTGTACTAAACTACAATTTTGAGGTATCTGTACTTTTTTTAAATTTATTTTCTGCTACTTCATACTTTGACTTCATTAGAGTTTAGAGAGAAATGTTGTACTTTTACGCAATGCATTTGTTTGATAACTTTAGTTACTATTTACTTCTCAAATGAAAACTAAAATAAAACTAAATACTGTGTATAATAAGACTATTGATCCCTGGTGAGAAATTCACAAGCTACACAGTAGTATGTAAAGTACTTCAAATTACAAATATATAAGGTAGTTAACATTATCTCCATCGTTACCAGCAGCAACAAATGTGATATATACATCATTAATAATAATTATAGTCCAATAATATGATATACATTAAACTGTGCCAGTCTGCATAATGAGTACCTTTAGTACTTTAACTTTATTTTGATGCTTATATATTTGTACTTATAATGTTTTGAATGTAGGACTTGTAACAGAGTATTTTTACACCGTGGTACAGATTTTTTTAATTAAGTAAACAATCTGAGTACTTCTTTCATCACTGGTCAAAACCTCTTTGTACTTCACTATGGAACAAGAAGCTTCAGTGTTCAATTTGACCACTGTTGCGGCAATTCTATGTGAAAAACTGTTAAAATTGCACCATAAACTTGAGTAGTTATCAGAAGTCAGAGACACCTGATTGGTGGAAACATGGTGGAGGGAAAAATCACCTTTGATTATGTGTTTGTGAATTTAATCAAATTTAGTCTGTTGCCACCATTTAGCTTACAGTCTTAAAATAGTCTCCCCTTTGTGCATCAAGTTATGTTTTTTTTAAATTTCCAAAATAAAAAAAATAAAAAAACTTCACAGCAGTCAACTGCATGCATTTCAAAGGGAACTTTATTTACAGCCTGTTGTCTATTTCAGGTTTGATTGTCAGCAGCACAGATAAACCTATGACAAGCTTCTTCGTTTTTCTTTTCATGCGTTGGATACACTTTGAAAACCCGTCTCACTAAAACACATTCAAATCTTCATTGAAGAAAGAGTCATTTGTCCTCACCCAGTGCTTTGAGCAACTCGTCGAAGTTCTCGCTGCTTTTCATTTTCCAGGTGCCTGAAAAATTGGCCATTTTTCTGGTTTGGTTTGTGTGTCAGCCTTCGTCTCCTGCCGTCTGTTGTCTTCTCCGCTCTCTTTCTTCAGGCTCTTTCTCTCCTCTGCCCATCCCCATGCCCCCTCCTTCTCTCCTCCCTGTGTGCAATGATCCCACACACTAGACAAGCCCTCCTCTTCCTCTGCTTTCTCTCTCTCACACACACACACACACACACACACACATTCTTAATAGTTTACTCTCATTACAAATTTCTCTTAATGACTGTGCTATATAAAGCCTCATTTGGAAGGTCTTTTTGTCTCATCTCTTCTACAGTGTAAGTAATGTGATCTGTCTGGAGTTTAGTAGAACTTAATGATGCATTTATTCAAATAGATGGTCATAAAACCTTTTAGTATCAGTCTTGTTTTTTATAGATCTGTCATTGGCACCCACAGCCGAAAAAAGGATCATCAACGTCTCATTTTGCAGGGAGGGTTTGGGACTTTGATTTAGTCACGTTTGACAGGTTTGAACATCATAAGCAAAACCGTATCCATCTCCATAGTAGGCAAATAAAACCTAAATTATCTGGATGGATAGATACCACTTTGGTTTGTAATGTACTTTTGCTGTTGTTGTGATTTAATTTATTAAGAATCCCGCAAGAAGCTATAAACAGTTTTATATTACAGTTCTATATTCAGCTGTGGTCACTGAATAAAAACTTTCATTAAAAAATAAGACTCATAGGTCAAGAATGTATTTTTTAAGTCTGTCTTAAAATAGCACTGTACATTTTCCTTCTGTTCATACTGACCATGAAAAGATCCATTCCTAAAGTGATTTTACTTTAAGAAATGAAAGACTAACCATACAGTTTTCATTAAAGTTTAGCTGAAGTTAAGTTGGGGCTTCAGCAGTGATAATGAACACTGTATGTTCATTATTTGTTGTAAAGTTGTCGTCTCAAACTGTTCAAATTTCTGTCTGTGTGCCAAGTAATTATGGATGAAGGTAGTATTATTTTATCACAGAAATACCCTCATGGGATCACAAGACATCTTTACAACATCTAACAACTACATAACTGTTCTCCCTCAGAAAACATAGATCCAGTCAGCTGGTCACATTGCAATTCAAATAGTTCTGATGAAAATAAGTAAATAAAATAAAACTAAGTCTTTCAAAGAAACATACATTGTCATAATCACGTCATCCCGCTCCTTAATGATACGTTTTCTTCCTACGTTCCCAGGCATCCCTTAACAAAGAAGCTAATTTAAATGTCTCTTTTTCAAACAACCACTTAAGTCACTGTGAATCATTCGTGTTCATTGTCTCATTCATATCCTTCACATCATTAAGCCAAAAAATAAAGAAATTCCTAGTACAAAGTAAATAAAATATAAAATGATACTCATTTTCAATTTCCTCTAGATCACACAATGGACACACACACACATCTTCTGCACAGTAAGACTGCAGCCCACAATTATTTTAAATAATTTTCATAATAAGATGTATAAAATGTCAGAAAATAGTGATTATTCCCTGTAGCCCAATATGGTTTGTCTGATCATTAGTCAAAACCCCCAAATGTTGTGTTTATCACCATAGAAAACATTCGCATTACAATTTTTGCCATGTTTGCTTAAATAAATGACTTAAATATTCTGTTATCAATAAAGCTTCACAATATACTATACTTTCTGTCAGTTGACTAATCAGTCATTTAAGCTCTGGACACTGCCATGTACAGTACAATGGGGGTCAGCAGGGACCCAACAAGTAAATATTGGCCCAGTGCTCCACAGATGCAGAATTTTTCAACACATTCTTACACCAAATGAGGACAGCAGACTGGGTCTCTACCTCTGGAAGTGAAAGCATGTCAGAAGGGGGTCATTTCATGGCCATATAGAGTGGAGGAACAATTACAGCAACCAGAGATCGCTTCAGTGCACATATGGGCTTTAGAGGGTTGTTTTAAGACAGACTTAAAGATGAAAACAACCCCAGGTTCATCAATTCACTGATACTGTACTGCCTTTTCCTGCTTTTCAAATTTTGGTTAAATCTACAATCCCAGACCTATCAGTGCTTTGACTGTCCCACCTTTTATCACACACACAATCACCCAGCTCTCACCATTACATCCCATGAGAATGAGAGGCCCTTTCGCTAACCCTGGCCAAGTCAGATTTGTCCCCCCGCTGACAGCCCCTCATCAGTCTTTCTGACAAAGTGCCTTCCAGACACGGCTTGATAATTAATGTATGGAGCAGAACAGGGAGCACTCTGTCACCCCACTAGGATGTGTCAGCTCAGAGAAGGCCTCTTTCTTTGTTTCATTTATGAGGATGTTTTTCTGTTAGTCTATCTCTGCTTTCAGTTCCAAAAGGGAACGTGAACATTTGAGCACAGCACAGAGGGAAAGTCTGAGGATGTGTGGCAAGTGTTGGGGAAAAAATGAACTTTAAGAGCATTTTCTGCTGCCATCTACTGTTCTATTTATTAAAAATAGGTCTTGTAAGTTTTTTTTTCTGGCTTTAACTGGGTTAATCTGACTTTAAATTTGAATTCTTGTCAATTATTACTGTTTTAAAAGGGCAGCATTTTGGTACATGTTTTTTCACTACCATATTTGTAAGACTGAGAATAATGTAGTACATCATAATGAAATGAATCCAAAAAAAGGAACTCTCGTTAGATATTAACATAAAGTCTGTTTTATCACAAAACGCTGAATATATGTTTTGTTTTGTTGTTGTTTGATATAATGATAAGCACCAGAATCCTCAAACATTCACTGCAGGTTGAATATATGATTTGGCTGTATAACAATCAGGGGAAACACTATTTAAATGCAGTTGGCTTGTCTCAGTAGACCCTTTCATCTCATTACCTAATATAATGAGATATGACCTTAGATGTCAGAGTGTCCCCTTTGATAAGATGTATGTACGCCCTACGGTTACGAGAACATCAAGGAAACACATTTTCTCCTCTCAGACCTTACACAATGAAGTCCCTGAGGACAATAGGAACGCATGATATTGATGTTTATACCCCCCCCCCTCCATTTTTATCTGAGTTCACACAAAGCCTCTTCTTACACACATGCTGCTAAACATGTATATAATGTTCCTGTTTTAATTGTACATAAAGGATTCTACAGATACCAAGAAACGTTGTCCCTATAATACATTTTTTGTCCAAAATCATTTCTACAAACCAAGGAAATACCTAAATCAAATAATCAAATGTGATTAATCTGCATTCAATCAATGAATCACACAGCCTGCCATTTATTTTATTCACATCTAATCAATGTTTGAGGATTTTGAGGCCACAGACAATGAAAAGAATCATTCAGTACCTTGCAAAGTGTTTGACAACACAACTGAGTCATATGTAATACGATAAATAAGACTAGGTTTGTCAGCCAATAGCTGCTTACCACAGACATAATTATCATCATGTACTGATAATTAACAAGAAATTACAGTATAGAAATACCAAAGACATGGAACAGGTTAGGTTTAAATATCAGTATCAAATATTGGCCAACATATCATTTTTTCAGTGCTTAAATATGTAAGTATCAGCACCAGCTTCAAAAATGTAGCAGCCTGTTCAATAGCTTGGACACTGAGCCAACACAAGATGTGGAATCACATGTATTCTGTACTCTGCAGTCGAGCTCTGATTTACAACAAGACCCACCTGTGTTGCTCACTGACAACATAATCACGCTTTTAGAGTTGCTGGAAACTGTCCCAAGAAAACAAACCTTCCAGACTGTAGTCAATCTTTATACTTAAGTTGATTCCCTTCTCTCCCACGAGGTTCACAGGTTTTAATAAGAACAGGCCTTTAAATGATGAAGATAACCACCCTGGATAAGTGTAAGAATGTCCCTGCTTAAACGTGTTTGAGAATATAAAACTAAGACCTATTTCTAGGTTCTTCAGGTATGCCTTATGTTCAACACCTCTTGGCAAAACCTGAGCAAATTTATGTATAATTTCAATTTAACATTATTCCTTCACCTAAACAAACTTTAAGATTTAGGAACTCCACTTGAAGTAAAACTGCCTGTTACCATTCTCTTTTCTCTCTGCTTAAAATACCTGCAGTGACAACTTCTGTAAGTAATATTTAAATTCTATGGTCAGTTCTACAAACTGACCATATATATATATATACACTCGATATATAACTTGTTTTTATCTCAAAAACAGTTATCGTCCTTAAAAAGTCACAACAGTCAAAATTACTCATCTGAAACAATGACTATGTTAAATTTTGAAGTTTATCACTTCAGTGGTCATAATCCCAAAACAAATACACATTTTTGAGACATTAACACAATCTACAGGAAATATACAATCACAATTGTGCTAAAAAGGAGAAAACATTTACATTATTGCCCTCAAACATACGCTGTCACCACAATGCCCAGCATAATGGAAGTTACATTCGGTTTCCTTCTAGTTACTATTAGGCCAAACCAGCCATTTATTAACCAGCTTGATTACTGGGACTTTTTTTACAGTGCCAGTAAGATATTAAAACTAGCATGTTACAAGACCTACTGTTCTTCTTCTGCACATTTGGCAATTAAAAACAAAAAAGCAGACTACTCTGAATTAACACTGGCAGCAATTTAAAAAACATAAAAACAGGAGGAGGAGAAGAAACCAGTCTGGTGAGCCCGAGTAAACAAATGGGAGAAAAATAAAATAGCTTACTGCTGAACTGAATGTATGATCCTGAGGTATATGACCTTTCTAAGAACATTAATCAAAAACAGGTGTTCGTGTGGGCCGGACACTGCTTGGTTCTGGTAGGACAGCACAAACACACATTACTCCAGATAACTGTCAGATGACAACAGTCTGTCACCAACCCCACTTCTCTCCACTGAAAAAAAAAACAAAAACAACCTTTGACTTGATTGTAGAATGCGTTGACTTTTTCTTTGCTGACCAAATATGGAGAATCAATCCTATAGGTTTTCATCACTTTGTCTGCATTTTCCAGTGTTAACAGACTTTCAATTGCACTAAAAAGCAACAACCCTGTTAAACAGCAGCACAAACAGAATCTGGCTATGAAATTAAAGACCAGGCATTTAATGTGTAACTAATAAGCTCATATTAATGGTCAAAAAAAGATTTAAACCCATAGTTTGTGTGGTTAAAGTAGCTTAATTTTATTTCTTTCCCCATACCTTTCTTTCACTCAGTGCTTTGACAGGAGGCATGTTTGGGGCTAAAATGGCACATGGTCCATATACTGTCTGTCCCGGTATCTTTTACCAGTGTCTCGAATCCACCAGCTCTGGTCTCAAACTCAGTTTCTTTAGCGTCTCATAGCCAACCACCATGACAATGGCAGTGGGCGTGGATGAAATGATCCGTGCTGACAGTCCTTTGGTCAAGCCCCAGAAGCGCTCCTCTTTAATCAGCTGGCGGAAGGTCTCGATGATTGAAGTCCTCCCTTCAACCTAAACAAAACACACACACGTTACATATTACTATTTGGAACCGCACATTATCACAACTTGGCCTTTGGCTGTACAGTAAATGGTGGTTACCTGTACTCTGGCTCTGACCACGTCCATGGGGTTAGTGACAGTTGAGGCAGTAGCAGCAGCGAGAGGCCCTGCCATGGCTTGTAGAATCAGGTGAGGGCAGTTACTCGGAGCCAGTTTTGAGAGCTGCTCTGTAGAACATTACATGCAGATAGTACAACAGCACTAGGAGTTTATTCTCACTACAGGTGTTAGAAAAGCACTGGGAACATAGACACTGATGGTAAAGCACATGCTCACAGTTTTTAGAGACTGCAGTTGTGTAGTGCTTTATTGTGTTTCATAGTTTAGCAAACAGAGGTTCCAACTCCTTACCTGCATAAAAATGATAGAAAGGCCACCAGACAGCACTGTTTGGGATATAAGTGAGTAAAGAAGCCACATAACCCCTGTAGAAGCCCCGGAAACCATCAGCCGCAAAAATCTGAGCAATAAGGTTCCTGGTTTGACCAAACACTTTTTTGGGCTTTCCAGTATCTGTGTTAGATTTGAGTCGAAAGCGAGTGAGGTGCTCTCCTTGGCCTTGCATCATCAGATGCTGCGAGACAACATCTATAGGAACAGTGATACTCTGGGCAACCAGGGAGGCTGAGCCACCTGCCACCAGCGACTTGACTGTATTGTCCTGAGAATACTGGGAGGCATACTTCCTCACCACCTCATAGGTAGTTATGTAAGCCTGGCCTGAGATGAGTGTGAAGTTGTTGACCATGAAGCCACGATAGAGGCCTCGTATGCCCTCCACTCGCAAGATTTTAATGAAGGCATCAAAAGTCCCGCTGTAGAGCGATTTGCCCCTCTGCACCTGCAACCGAGTGCGAATGAGTGTGGCTGGGTATAAGATGGCCCGGATGGACACTGTCATAAACACCCCAAAAGAGTAGAACTTCCTCTTGTCGAGGTCCTCCCACTCAATGATCTGGATGTTCCTCTTCTGCCGCATCCTGCCAGCTGTGGGAGTCCCCTCATCAGATGGGTTCCTGTCTGACAACATAAACAGTGTAATAATGTCAAAGTTCGTTGTTGACCACGGAAGTTGTAAATTGACATATATGTAACAAATATAAATGTTACTTGAACCCCTACCTGAAAACGTCAGAGAGAATGAGCACTTCGTGAGCAACATTATCTATCCTCAGACATACAGTATATGAGCTAGTTCAAAGATCATGGTGCGAGCAAGCTAAAGCTAACTACGTTGACCTATAGATCCGAGTAGATTTGGCACAAATACCCAGCCTAATGTTATGACCGGGTAGTTACAAATGCCGCTTTTCTGGTCATACTATAGGTAAACATCACCGCACGAGTTTGTGTTTGGCCACGGGGGCAACACCAGCCCGGTCAGAGGACACTGTTCCCGACCCGATGTGAAACCAAACGAGAGCTACGGAAGCGGTGTTAGCTAAAAACACTTATTAAATCTAACAAAGTAAAACAATAACAAAACCTGGTGTTTATTGTTAGTAAAATGTGCCATATATGGCAGTGTAGTTAGGCTAAAATGGGCTAACGTTAGCTTACACTCAGTTAAGTTACACAGCGTTAACATCGTTTTACCCTAAACTGAATCAGCAAGCACTTACCTATTTGGATGGGTGTTTGTTTCAAACGTCATATCAACAGCTGATTAAACTATCAAATTCAAACTAACGTCATTAAGTGTCCATTACACCCGAAACACGGAGTTGACTACCTCCTAGTTATTCAGCTAACTGTCACATACAACTTCCTGTTCACATTCGTTAGAGCAACATTGTGCTACCAAGGACACGCGTGCTGCGTTCAGGTGGTATCGGAAAAGATGTTAACGTACTCAATGCAAAACAAAGCCTTTGCGTGTTGTACTGTTATACGTATATTCACTGTTATACCATTACATTATCACTCAGCATTTATATTTAAGTTGCATATAGCTAGATTTAAATTTAATTTGATATACGACTGAAACTAATTACATGTTTTATCAAAATACACATGTCAGCTAAAAGTAGGCTACTCTTTGACTTACTGGGTAATTGATTACTTATTTAGGCTAATTGTAGTAAGTTTTATGAAAGGAGTAAAAAGTACAACACTTCCCTCTCAAATGTGTTGAAATACAGGTGCTATTGAAACGTAAGTACACGTCTGTAAAATGTGTACTAAGGTACATTACTTAAATTAAATGCACTTGCTTTTCAGCTGTCATTGAACAGAACACACGTGGCGTATCGGTCCTCCCACCGGATGGCGGCGCTGCTGAACGGATACTCGACTCCGACCGAAACCTGGTGTGTGTGTGTGTGTGTGTGTGTGTGTGTGTGTGTGTGTGTGTGTGTGTGGTACCCGGG